GAAGTGTTGGCGTGACCCGCCACGGTGGTATAGTGGTTGTGGTGTTCGAATTTCGACGCGCAGGTGTGGGGATCGAATCCCGGTCATGGAGATTGCATTTTTGATGGAGGTGAAAATGCCCGAGGCTCGTTTACTTTGGTTTATGCACAAGTTAGGCAACCCCAGGTGGTCGAAATTTCCAGCGTCCTTCACTAAAACGTCTCTCATAATCAGATAGGGGTTTGTTACAATAAACCCCGTTTATTTATTATTATTATTATTATTATATTATTATTATTAGTAGTAGTAGTAGTAGTTGTTAGTTGTTGTTGTTGCAGTAGTAGTAGTAGTAGTAGTAGTAGTAGAATGGTTAGTTGGGCTAGTTGGTACTGATCCATAAGCGCACTGCGCAAAAAACGCATGGAAACACGAAGTAGAGAAAAAGGACAGACAAGTGCAGACTATCAACTGAAGCTTTATGGCAGGACCGAAAAAATACATACAGAATAAAAAGCAAGAGGGAGGGCAAAGGGGGAAGATTGAAAAGGCGCGAGGGGCCAAATCAACAAAACCTGGGCAACATCAGGAATAGCACGCACGTCATGCAAAACCTAGATAGCTCAACTCCTTATTGCGTATGGTCACACAGGGAACACTGACGCACGACTGAGACATCTTATGAATATGCCCAGCCTCAATAAGCTCGCACACTCTTTGTTTTTTATGCCTAAACAGCGCAGAAGTATCGTCAAAGAGCGGCACGCAGCCGCATTCCCTACAGAGGGCTGCTAAATGAAGGCCAGAGTGGCCTTTTAGAGGATTAGATATTCTCAAATTCAAACATTTAGAGGGTGACCTGTCTGACTCACGTATACACGATTGCATGACAAAGGTTTGGAGTAGACAACACCGGTGATACATGACACATAATTAAAAATATGGCTAACATTGCATGTATCTTGCCATGGACATATGTGCATGTGATTTGTGACTCGTCTACCTACTTGGCCACATAAAGTGGATAACTTATTCCTGGAAGAAACAACCAATCGGACGTCATATCTTGATGCCACCTTTTTTTATGCCAAAAACCGGAGAGTGCGTGAGCTTATTGAGGCTGCGCATATTCATTAGATGTTTGAAGTCATGCGTCAGTGTTCCCTCTGTGACCATACACGATAAAGAGTTGAGCTATCTAGGTTTTGCATGACGTGCGTGCTATTGCTGATGTTGCCCAGGCTTTGTTGATTTGGCCCCTCGTGCCTTTTTTCTCCTCCCCTTCGCGCTCCCTTGCTTTTTATTCTTTCGTTTATATATTGCCTCGGTCCTGCAACAAATCTTCAGTTGATAGTATGCACTTGTCTGTTCTTTTTTTTTACTTCGTGTTTCCGCCCGTTTTTCGCGCAGTGCACTTATGAATGCAGCAGCAGTAGTAGTAGTAGCAGTAGTAGTAGCAGTAGCGTGGAAGGAGGGTTAGCCAAAGTAATATAGAACCGAGGAACATAAGAAAAACGGGAAAGAGGTAATGTGAGTAAAGGATGATAGAAAAGAGTTCTTGGATAGTATAAGATAAAGAAAAGGAGAATGATAACACGTTAAGCGATACTGCTTAAAGACTCTCTGAGACTAGTTGCTCTTAAAAACGGCAGCAACGCTCTGAGTGCTTTCAGTGCTGAAGATGGTTTCGGCCAATGTACTCAGACCTTTTCTTCCGACAATGGGTGACTGTCAAGAATGTCGGACACTTCTGACAGTTCTTTTCTTGGTTCACTGAAGTGAGGGCACTCACCGAGTAAATGGGCGATTGTCACCTTGTTGCTGCAGTTATCAAACGTCATGATACTGGCCATCCCGACGCGGAAGGAGTAAGACTTCGTGAAGGCCACCCCGAGCCACAGGCGACGCAGGAGGGTCTCCTCAGCTCCAGTTATTCATGTCGGAAGACGGAGCTGTATATTCGGGTCCAAGCTGTGAATTCCGTCGAGGTATAGGGCGAGCGTCAGTTCTCGTGCAAGTTAACGAAGCCTTCTAGTGGTCTAGTGGCTAAGGTACTCGGCTGCTGACCGGCAGGTCACGGGATCGAATCCTGGCTGTGGCGGTTGAATTTCTGATGGGGGCGGAAATGTTGTAGGCCCGTGTGCTCAGATTTGGGTAGGCGTTAAAGAACCTCAGGTGGTCGAAATTTCCGGAGCCCTCCACTACGGCATCTCCCATAATCATGTGGTGTTTTCGGGACGTTAAACCCCACATATCAATAATTTAAATCCTAGTAGCGGTCCGTTATAGATAATGGTAAAGCTGTACGGGGGACAACATCATGAGCAGATCGGGTGGCTTCTTCTGCAAAGTCATTTCTGTAAATAGCGCAATAACCCGGCACCCGCTGATCGACAACGACGTGCTGCTTATGTATAGCACGGTGGTTAAGCAGTGTTACGTCAGTCACTGACTCTTCATTTGGGTCCGCCGTGTTATGGCGACGTTACGCACTGGAGAGCTGCTTTGGAGTCGGAGAAGACGGACCATGTCTGTGGTGGTTCTTCAACTATGAACGCTAGAGCAGCACGGATGGTGGTTAGTTCTGCAGCCTTCGATGGATCAGAAGCGAGTACGAATGAATGATCTCATGGAACTACCTTTAGTCGTATTTTAAGGCCATACGTTGAACGAGATACGCCAATATTGTTTTCTTTCTTTATAAAGCCATCCGTGTCTTGTGCTGAAACAAAATAGTAATATATTCTCGAAATAAATCACGAAAAAGTGTCCATTATAACATCAAGTATCATGCAAGGCATATTTTAGCCATCATTACAAAAAGAAATCACTTTGTATTTAGTACCAATGAATAATCAATTCAAATTATTATCTCTCCTCATTTAAGAGTTCCATCAGTTTTCGTAAGTTTGAAAAGTGAACTAGCCAATACAGATTCGTTAGCTGTAGTTGCCTGAGTCACTTAGGAAAACAACCCAAAAAGGCAGCAACTGAGAGACAGAAGCAACGTATAGCTTAATCATTTCTTCCATTCGTCCTCGCGTCAAAAACAATTCTCTCTCCCCCCCCCCTTCGACCCCCCCCCCCCAAAAAAAAAACAGGTGGACATGTTTATGTACGAAAAAGGAGAACGTTGCTTACCAAAAAAAAAAGAAATCTATTACTTTCGATCCACTGAAAAAGTACGAATCATCATTCTCCCTCGAGACGCGCATCATTAATGTAAACGTTTCATCGCGAGCGCAGCAGCTGGACGTAGACAGCGAATGCCTTAAAGACTGGAAAGTGCAATGCCAGAGCGATAAAGAAAGCGGTGTGCAAAACGAACATACGGCGAGGCCCCATCGGAAGTTCATCATTTTCTTCGGCCGTCTCCACGCCACATGGTACGTAGGGCGAACCTATATACCGCGCACCTCGATTGGCCCTCGTCGAGAGTCGCGCGCACAACAGCGCAGTGTTTGCCCGCTGCTTGAGCTGGAACGTGCTGACGGCTTTGCCGCTGCCGGGTCTGCTTCTGCCAAGACCACGCCGCCTCGTCAGATCACCGAGAGGCCAGTTGCCGGCTATAGCTTTCTCGCGCGATGCAAGCTGTTTTCTTTCCTTCTGCGTTTTGCGACGTGTTCATCTTCATCGTTTCGGCCACTCCACTGTTTGTCTTCCACTTTCCTTCTCCCTTCCCCAACCTTCCGCTCTATGCTATCGCCATTTCTTCTCTTCCAACTCTATTGTCTTCTTTAGTTTTCTCTCTCTCTTTTCTTTCGGCCTTGCGATGTTTCCTGCGGCGTGTTTCGGCGTCCTTCGTGGTATCTCGATCTTTCTACGTACACTCGGCTTCTTTGTTTCTGAATTTTTCTTTCTCTTCATTCCTTCGAGACAACGGAGTGTACACCAAATATTCTTTTTTTCGGCGTCTTCCCTGTCACATCGCATTCTGTCTTACTTTCGAGGACCCGGTGTTTGCAGTCCTGGCGCTTTTCGAAGTTTGCCGCCGTGTCCACACGTCTATATACTGACTGCCACGGAAGTTTCTCCGTAGAGTTTTATACATGCTGCAAGCTCATTTTTTAAATGTCTCTCATGTGATGTATTATTTCTCTTTGCTACCTCAACTATATGAATGGTTTTTACACACCGAGTACGCCTACGCGTGCTACGACCTTGACATGCGTGTGGGAAACGTCGATGACACCACCCACACATGCTGCCTAAATGTAAATGAGGAGCTGTACGCCGTTCGCGCATAGGACTCACCACAAATAGAGTGATGACAGGAAATGCGAGCGCTATATCTACCCTTATACAAATATGCAGTACAACGTCATGCTATTAGCATTTGTTATTCGTTTTTTTCCCGTGCCATAGTTATCTCATCTATACGTGGGACTGGCAGATGCCTAATAAAGTAGAAACGGCTATAAGCATTGTAAGGGGCTATTCCGTGAAGCTTGTGCAATGTTTGAAGCTTGAGCAATGTTTAACACATACAAAAAAATTTGTGATAAAGTTTCCTGTAGCGAACTGTCATACGCGTAAGGCATTTCGTCCGTCACATATCCGCGTCGTCACCTGCTTTGATATTGAGACGTAGCCACGTTTGCTAAGAATAAGTGGCGCTGGACAAAATTAGACAAGAGTTGGCTAATTAGCCACTGTTAGTCAATGTTAGTCAGCGATAGTAATACGCAAGCAGTACACCTCGGTGGAATGGTAGTTATGGCGCTTGCTGCTGACCCGAAGGTTGCGGGTTCGATCCCGGCCGTCGCATTTCGATGGAGGTAAAATGTTCAGAGACCCGTTTTGTGTGCGATCTCACTGCACGTGAAATAACACCAGATGTTCCATATTTCCGGAAACCTTCCGGCCGCTCTCTTCTTCATATTACTTTTTTTTGGGTCGTAAAACCCCTAATATGTCAGTTTTATGCACAAAACTCATGCAGCATTCATACAGCAGACATTTCAAAAACGCACCCACTAACATGCATTTTATAAACTGTTTCCCTGTTTGGATATCTCCTGCAGGTCCTGCGCGGAGCCGTACGTCCCACCCTGACGCCCCGACGCCATCTCCCGAAGACCCTGGGAGTGTGGTTTCGAGGACGGCGTCGCGCCACGTTCGTTCGGCCGAGGCGTCACTCGTGTCAGCCCCGGAGATCTTGAACCCCAAGCTCTTTCCGGACATTGAGCAGCCGGCGTTCGACAACAGCACGCCGCGCAACGTCACAACGCAGCAGATGCAGACCGTCTACCTGCACTGCATAGTCAACAACCTCGGCGAACGGACGGTGAGTAGGCACCCTTGAACTCTAGTCACGTGTTACTAAGGGCTTAGATGCCTCACCAAACGCGAAAGTTGACTGTCCACTTCAGCATTCCTCGATGCCGGCGTGAACGCGAGCGATGCAAGAAATCATCATTGCAGCATGACTTCATCATGTGGCGTCTTCAGTCGTCGCTAATCACTAATAGTTCCAGCGTCATCATGATTTAATTTGGACGACACCATGATGTCCCATAACGTGATGACAATGACGTCATCACATGATGCCATCGCTAGGCCAAAGTGGGCTTATCATGGAGGCAGGGTAAAAACAGATGAGGTGCTGAAAGCTCTCAATGCCCCGGATCCTGAGGGCAACGCGAAACCACGTTTAAGGCAGAAAGATTTCTTTTTTTTAAATGGAAGGGGGGAGGAAAGGGGAGAATCAATACAATCACCGACAAGAAAGAAAAGATGGTTTTTGCCTGCGTGTCACCTAAGGCGAATGCATAAAAACCTCTTTTTTTTTATGACTGCCCCGTGTAAGAATTCCTGTTATTTTCTTCTGGCAAATAATCAGGTTGCTACTCAGGCTACAGACCTGAAGGCAGCGTCTAAGAGTGGCCCAGAGAGAAAAAATAAATAAATTTTTATTTGAGCAAACGCCCTGTGCAACCAAAATGGCGGCCTCTTTATCCCAGGTAGCCGCTGGCCTTCGCCATTTCCCGCGCTCGTTGCCCATAATAATAATAATAATAATAATAATAATAATAATAATAATAATAATAATAATAATAATAATAATAATAATAATAATAATAATAATAATAATAATAATAATAATAATAATACAGCTCTGTATGCATATTTAAACTTGTCTTTTGCGTGCACTCACTGAACTATCATCGCTAATTCGTCGTCATCGTCGTCCCCTATAACACACAAGCGGCGATCTGTTTATGGTAATCTTGCTAAGTAGAGTTCGTACTAACGCTGTGATTGTCGAGAAGAAGCAATGGCGAATCAGGAATGGACGCGATAGTACTAGACACTCGTCACTCGTTTGCTCCATTATCCAAGCGCTGTAGTTCCGAAACCAAAACAAGTATAAAATCTACCCTCTACCGTAGTAGGACGGCTACGGTGTTTGGTTGCTGATTCAAAGGTCGCTGTAGAGAATCTCGGCTTTGGTGGTTACATTTCGATGGAGGCATCTGCTGGAGGCGATTGAGGCATGTGCTAAAATTTAGATCGATGTCAAAGAACTCTAGGTAGCTGAAATTTTTTTATATCCCACCATCACGGCTACTCTCAGATTATCATATAGTTGTTTTGGGCCATAAAATCCTAACAAACTCCAGCTGTATGGTGTAAAATTTTAAATTAGCAAGGCCCTTGTACTTTCCTATGCTTTGATTATTACCTTTTCACCTCATTACAGATTGATTTGTCTACAGGCATGTATGGGAACAGGAGAATAATGTTGAAAGAAAAAAGGAAAGACAGAAAAAAAAGAAACAAGGGAATAAATAAATAAATAAATAAATAAATGTCTTCTAAAGCAAACGGCATCGGACTGTTGCACTGGAAATTATACATTAGGTTACGCCATCGGGCACAATTTCTCTCTATTTTATATGTTTTTTTTGTTTAATAAAACAGTTTGAAGTCACGCGGGGCCCTTACCAGTACCCCCTCCAAAGTTCTATGAAGAAGGCGAAGAATGCTTAGCGTTAATATGGCAATGCGAAGCCGGCAGATCCTCTCAACGCACTGTAAGAGAAAGCTCGTTTCAGCTGAACCCGCACAGTGGATGCAGGCAATGGCCAGATTGCGAAGCGGGAGTGTCACAATTGGCGTGATTAAAGAAGCTAGACAGAAGTAGCAGGCTTCTCCAATATAAATCACTTATAGCTGTATCTCGCCAAACAGCATGTATCACATTCCTGACGATTGGCGTCTGTATTAACAGAAGGGATGAACTGAACCGTAGTTTTGCCACGCGCATAAAGGAATTCTTGCTTGAAGTATCTTGAGCTGCGCGCATAATCTGCATTTTTATTCTCGTTATGCGCGACTATTTTACTCAAAGTCAGTACTAATGCAGTAACGTTTTTCTGCTGACTTCATGTACGTCTTGTATTACGCCTAACCTATTTTATTAGTATTTCAAAGAAGAAAAAAAATTCAAGGTGCACTTTTGTACAGCTGTTCTAGTTGTCAGTGCTGTATTGATCTTTCCAAGAACCAAGACGGAGGAGCGTCAGATAAAGCATTGTACACAGTCACACATGATCTCTTGAAGTGTCTCCTAGACAACACAGTTCTTATATACACTGTTACGTTCCCAAATGCAGAAGATTTTGTTATGTACAATCGCAGCCATAGCTAAAAAAGCCGTGCAGAATGGCGTCAAGACAGACCTGATGAGATTCAAAAGTCAAGTAAAACTTTTAGGCACATAAGTCGATTGTTTCGAACTGCTTATGACGACACGCGAAGAACGAGATGTTTCTTGTGAGCGAAAAAAATATTCTAGTTGAATCTGAGCATAGCAATGTGCTCTGAATGTCTAATATCCTTAGTATCTTTCTAGGTACCACCAATCTTTTTGAACTTGAGCACCAGCTAAAGCGACTTTTAAATCAGTGAATACGGACTATCCCCTGATGTTTTTCTTGGCTAACAAGGTGAATCATAGCACGAATAAGAGCAATTTCAGCGATAGTTGGTATCGTCGAATGCCTTGTCTTGAAAACAACGTGATAATTTCTGCTAGGTAAGCCAGGGCGCCGATAACACTGAAGGAAATGATCGTTCCTCTGGAGAATTCCTTACACGCTGTACACGCTTCGTATTGTCAGGTTACTTTAACGATAATAAACTGTACGCTTCTAATAAATGTAGTTGGCACTCAACACGTCTGCACGAAGTATAGACAAATCGCTTCGTCTTTGAGCTCGGTCTAGATTACCTCAACACTTAACAGTATGTGGCCTACTGTTGCTTCTTGTCACTTCAACGAAGGTTCTTGCTTTTGGTACAGCGATGAAAGGCAGTGTTGGTTACGTTCACAGCGGAAACGAATAAACTGATCAACAGTTATTTTTTTGCCACTGTCCTTACCCTACCTTCAGCGCACCCACGCTGTCGCTAGCGGGTGTGTTAGTTCGTCTTGCGGGCATGCTGCTTACAGAGTAGATCGATCATATAAACGCTTCCATAATCGAAGATGAATCTGGCCATTGCTTTCTTTTAGTCTGCAGAAACTTACATGAGACAGTCGCCTTTCGATGCCTTATTTTTTGTATTGTTGCTTTTAGGTGCGCCGATTCATTTGCCTGTCTTTCTTGTTTAGTCAGAGTTTATCCCTGACTTTTCCCCCGAGTGGAGGGCAACAAACCACTAGTTTGTTTAATAAGAAGAAAGTATGAAGAAAAGAACGAAGTTGTTTACAGCAGCGTTCTGGTGACGTACGCGCTTTGAATATTGGTTTTCATCGAATGGGAAGCAAACTCTACAGAAAATAGTGATGACACAAATGCGGTCCACAACCCGCACTCCTCAAAAGATAAGCGTAAGCGAAAATTACCCAGATATTCATTAAACGTTGCTCGCATTATTATGTAATGAGAGTCACAGAGTAGATTCCACATATTAAGTTTGTGCAAATTTTTACGCCTCATAAAACGTGTATGCACAATCAAGTTGTTTCGTCATACGTGTGTAGCAGAACTAAGGCCACAAATTCAAATTCTCGTCGTTACTGCCAGCATTATTGTAACACATCTCTATAGCAAGCTAAATTGGCTCAGACCGCGTTATGTAAGAGCACCATCTAATGTACCAAAGCCTCTCATAGATTATATAGCTAAATAATAGTCGCTCTGTCTCACTACTCTCAGTGACGGCCACGAACCAGGATATTACAGGCTGGCGATTTACAGTCTTTGTGCAGTTTTACCTTAAGCGTGAAGAAATGCTGATGAGGCAGTTGCTTGGCATGTTATACCTTACTTTAGGCTAAAGCTGAAGTTACTCTTTTCTTGCACGTTCTTTTCATTGAAGTTCAGGTGATATTCACCTATCTCATGCATACAGCCGGTCTTATACTAACGAAGGCGGAAGTGGCCGCAAAGTTTAGGCCACCATTATTATAACACACTTTCTTGATACGTTCGACGCTAAACCAGCAAGCGCCGAAAGATCCTTTGAATATATAACCACGTGCGTTGGTGCGGCTAGGTGTCATCAGAACAATTGTTTTCATCTTCGAAAGAAAAATAACATGAACATATGAGGGAACAGTGCTGGCGCCATTTGCATGTCAGCAACTCCTCCTTGTTTTCCGCTCGTGCACCTCAATGACGAGCCCCTTCATAAATTATTTTAAGCCCCCTTATTTTGAAAGAGTTTCGCTTTTCAACGCAATTTCTCAGCGAGCTCGCATTCCTCCGTCGCACGGCAGCTATATCTCTCGCTTCGTGCTCTCCGAATGCGCCCTGCGTGAGCATATACATCAGAGGAACGCATTGGCGTAACGCTTATATTTTTAGACGACTGCCGCCCAGCCCTATACTTCTCTCGTTGTCGTCGTTCCAGCCAGCACGATCCAACGCTCAGCCATAATGGTCGGGAAAGCAGCAGCGAAAGTGTGCACCTACGCTTTTTAATGGACCATTCTTGGACGAGAACGCCTCCCCCTTCTCCCCCATCCACTTCTGCCCATTCTTTCATTCTTTTCCGCGTGACTTCTTCAGTGAAGGTGTTTACTTCTCTCGTACGAGAGAAAAAAAAAGCAATGAGCAAGCTGGCGCGTGGAACGGACGCAGAGAGATAGAAGATGAGTGCGAGCGCTCAAAACAAGTCCGAGAAATAACGCTGCCAGAGCTATTATGCTCGCATCTACCACACGCGCTTTACACTATGGCTTGCCCCGCAGTGCCACCAACATGGACGGCGAAGCGGCTCGGCACTCCTGCGACCCTACGATACCCCTCGGAGGAAGAGGCAATATACGGGATG